TCTCTCTCTCTCTCTCTCTCTCTCTCTCTCTCTCTCTCTCTCTCTCTCTCTCAGTCTCATTTCCTGCCCCTTCTTCCCTCTCCCATCAACCCTCTGTCTAAAGTGACCAGTGTCCCTATTCACAATGACTTCTAGACCTGGACTCCAGCTTAGACTCTTACTCTGTGCCAGGGGGTGGGGTGGAGGGGAGATGATGTTTAATGAGGACAAGTGCTTCAGATGGACGCCAGTGACGGCTGCAAAGTAATGTGCCTGTGTTTAACGTCACTGAACGCTTGGGAACAATTAAAACAGGATATTTTATGTTATGTATATTTGACTACAATAGAGATTTCATTTTGCAGTGGGCAAACTCACCTGTCTCTGAGATCATAATGTTGTCATTGTGTCTGTCACCTATCCCAAGAACGAACGTCGCCACACAGTAGCCGGCACAGGAGTAAACAAACCTTTCCACTGCTGCCTGAAACTGATGAGAAGCACAGGAACGTCAGTGCTTCCCAGCTGCAGAGAGCAGCCGAGCATCGCTATGCCTTCCAGAACCACTTCAGACAGCAAGTAAGTTGAGTCCAGTCTCACTAGTTTCATATCAAGGAAGTGCCAACTGTCATATTGTTCTGCTTGTATTATCAATGAAGAGTCACCCAAACACCATGGCATGAGGGAGACCCAAGAAGCAAAAGGCCACAGTAATTTATTCAAAGTTCCCATCCTCTCCTTGCCTACAACTGGACAGAACTCAGAAATTTCTGCAATTATGCTTTTCTTATAATCACTTAAGTGGATGGTTTCACAAGTCTTCATGTATAACAGATTAATAAGGCTACTAATTATATCCCCCCACCAAAGGCTGCTGGCCATGCACATGTGAAGAGCTATTCTGTGCAGTAGAACTTTAAACAGCGCCCAGACAGACCAACCAACCAGTTTGTGAAGGATCCAGCAAATGCTCTTCAGCAAGATGGACATTTTCAACATCCGTAATTTACCATTTAGATCCACGGTAGTAAATTGCAAGTTATTTTGTTTGGTATGAAAGAATGTATATAACTAAATCTTTGTGTTGAACAACAAAAATAGCCATAAAAGTGCTAGCAGACTATTTCACAGAAACAAATTCTATGCAAAGCCTGACTGGTAATTCATACTGAAGCAAATGTTTCCCGGGTCTAGAGCCAGGCACTCTGTCTCTCAGATAAGTTGTGTCATGGGGGAAAACCCTTGAAACCACCACTGCTTCGGGAGTAACAGACTTCACCAATGTGCCGGAAACAGACTTCCTTTGGAAGAGCCTGCCCAGACCAGAAATCAAGACTGTCAGATATAAGGCAAGCTGGACGGAGGAGTGGACTGGTGGGGGGGGGGAGGGCAGAGCAGGAACTCACCTTCTCTTCAATAGGGCATTTTTCTTTGAGCCAGTGACTCAGGACTTCATCTTTGAATGCCCCCGTGTTACCCACTGTGCTTTGCTGGATTTGGGCGATTGTTGTGGCATCCTTCACGATCTCAATCATTCCTATGTGAAGAGTCACAGAGTTCAATGGAGGCTGGTGATGCTAAGTCTTGGCTGAGTAGAGCAGAGGTTTTTTCTTTTATTTGATGTTGTTTTTAGGCCCAAGGCCTGTTTTCAAGGTCTGAGTTATTTTGTTGTTGTTTGTTTGTTTGCTTTTAGGAAAGGTAATAACAGGCAATGACTACAGAATTTGACTGGAATACTCTCTCAATATCCCTGAATAAGGAGAGAAAAGGGCTGCTTTTGAGGAGTAACAAATAAAGATATTTACTTCTGAAGGCCAAGCTTAGCCTTCTTGCTTGGTGGTTGGCACCTTTCCCTTTTTAGGTAACATGGCCAAATGTTTTGTGCAGTTCTCATATCAGAACCTTGAATAAAAATAAGTGTGATTGAAACTAAAATGTTAAATGTCTATAAAAGTACCTGAGTGGAGTGTGTAATAGCTTCAGTAATGTGAATTCTAGAATTTCAAAAGAAGTGACAGCTCTTTCTGTCTAATTTTAAATGTTATTTTCGAGAGAAAAGCTTAATGTTCAATGAAATGAGCTGTGATGGAGAGGAGTTAGGGAAGGGAGCAAGTTCTTGGGACGATCATTCCCAGGTGTGGTCACAGACCTGAGTCAGGCATCCACGTCTTCAACATGTTGCAGTAAACAGTGAACTTCAACAATTGAGCCAAGTCAACGTGCAAACTGTCCCTCAGAATTAGGGGAACAGGAAAGCAACTTTCTGCTGTGGGATGTTCTGTATGTCCTGTGGGAGCCTGTTCTCGGGTTCCTCATGGCTTTACCTAGCAGGTCCGCATAGAGGATGATTGGGACCACGGGCCTGAGACAACTTTCTGTGACTTTGAAATGCTCGTCTTTGCAAATTCAAAAGACTCTACAGATTTATTTAAAACTAAGTTCACCTTTAAAAAAATTAAATAATTATTTCTTTCATTTTCTTTTAAAAATCTTTCTTGGACAGAAAACAAAAACAAATGAACTGAGAGTCACTTTCAGCAGCCTGGGGACATTGCCACCTTTTGATTTTAACTGTAACTTCCAACCTATGGAATTCTTTCACAGAGAGTGGTGTGCTCATTGCCTGATGTAACTACATACCTATTTTATCACCAGTTGAGATGCAACCATATGGCAGAAGGCACAAGTCCAGAGATTCAGTCTCCCAAATGGACTCCATGATGCGTAGAATCTGGGAGCCAAAACACAGACATTTCTACTATACATAGATGTTGGCCAGTACATTTTTCTTCTCTCTTAAAAAGTCAGGAATCTTGTTCGGTTACACACAGTATATGAGCAAATGTAAAATACATAGTAGCAACTCAACTTTTATTGATGAGCCTGATACTCAAAAATTCCTGCCATTGCAAATCTGTTAATTTCAGCTGCTGGGGTATATGTTGAAGAAAGAGATAAAGCGTTTTTACTTGGGGGAGGGTTTTTTTTTTTTTTGCCATGTTTCACTATTTTATCAAACATTCCACTTTGTTATATATGTTTCCCCACAACAACTGCAATGTCCTTTTACGTGTTTTCTATTCTGATAGCCACAAGACCCATGCTACCACCAAGGCAGTTAACTCAGTAATGGTGATATTAATACCAAATATTAGTTGGTTTCTCTTTTATGTGTGATTCTTGTATTAACCTTATATTGGGAATATAATTACTGTTTCCATTCAGAGGGCAAAGGAACAAAAGCTTAGAGAGTTGTAAACAGTGAGCTTCAACAATCGAGCCAAGTCAAAGTGCATCCTGTCCTTCAGAATGAGAGGACAGGAAAGCAACTTTCTGTGACTTTGAAATGCTTGTCTTTGCAAATTCAAAAGACTCTACAGATTTATTTAAAACTAAGTTCACCTTTAAAAAGATTAAATAATTATTTCTTTTATTTTCTTTTTAAAAATCTTTCTTGGACAGAAAACAAAAACAAAAACAAGACAACAACAATAAAACAAACTATTCTTGAAAAGAAAGCTGAATACTATATTAGAAAAAAAAAGAAACAGAATCTTAAGGAAAACTGAAAATATCATTTTATAAATGGCCTGCCTTTAACTTAGTATGCTTTGTCTATCCTAAGCAAATCATATTAGGTTTTAGAAGTTTTTTACTTCTTCCATGATGAGGCACTAGAAGCTGGAGATCACAGCCTTATAGACTTGTGAAGCTAAAGTCTGCACAGAAATGTTTAAACACAAGGTCTAAAAATGATGGGTGTTGATACCTTCACCATTCACATTCTGTGCTCATCATCCGTGTGATCACTCCATCACCTATCTGCTCATCATTTTCTCCTTTGTATAAGTCATTCTTGAGCTGTGTATGAGTACCGAAAGGGATGTATTTAAGGAGTATGCCTACTGGTGGGTTGGTATGTCTGTAAAGGGATAAGCCGGGTACTGCCAACAAGTCATCCCATAACCTATGCCACCATGTACAGAATGGAGTGTTTAAAGAGCCTAGGTGAGGCAAGTGTATCTGGCTACTAGGGAATGTTGAATACACATCTTTGAAAGGATAGCGAGAGCTATGATGCTCTTTCAATGGTATGTCTAATGATCCAAAGCTACATTCACCAAGTAAAACTTCTCTATTAAGTACCATTTGACTGCTGTTTATCATATGGGGAAAAAAACAGAAAGGAAGGCATGTTTCAGACAAATACAGAATTCTTTCTTCAAATAATTGCAAAACACCCAGTTCCTTCATGTTGATGTAACCAACCGTCTTATTAAATAAGAAACACAGAAACAATGTAAAAGAGAAAGCCAAGAGGTCAGAACTCAGAGCTAAAATCTCACCCTTCCTTCTGTTGTCCCAGCTTCCCGAAAGAGAGCTATATCCTGTCTGTACGTCTTTTTTATAGTATTATTGTTCTGCCTTCTCATTGGTTGTAAACCCAAACACGTGACTGCCTCATCACTGTCTGAATCTGAATGTACAGCCCCCTAGGTCTTAAAGGCATATGTCTCCAATGCTGGCTGTATCCCTGAACACACAGAGATCTATGGGATTAAAGGCGTGTGCCACCACCGCCATACTCTGTCTATGGCTCTAATAGCTCTGATCCCCGGGCAACTTTATTTATTAACATACAATCAAAATCACATTTCAGTACAATTAGAATACCACCACACCTTCACATCAGCCTACCTGTAAGATCAACATGTCTTGTCGAAGGTCATCACCATGTTTAAAGATGATTCCAATGGTTTCATTGGATAGGACTGTAGGATCTGCACATTTAAATTCAAGCCACAGGGGCTTTTTCTTCGAAGCCATCACTTTACATTTTTCGATCTGCAAGGACATGGTTATAATGTCACATACAATGAATATACACTGGGGAGGCACTGGTTCTTTTGCAAAGCATTTCTGTACACAGGGCAAAATCCTGGTTGGAAAATAATTTTCAATATTTGGATAAAAATTCAGAAGGTATCCTCATCTAAACAGAAAATGCTATTTATATGTGAGAAAATTCACAATCCTTTGAACAATGGTTATCCGACTGTACCCAAGAAACTCTAAGGGTCTGTGGAAAGCCCATGGGTGCAGCAGGTACCTTCCCCCTACCCCGACAGGACACTGGTACTCCCACACTGCCATTAGCTCAGAGCACTTATGCTAGTATCTGTTTCTGCATTCCCTTCCTGAGATTTAATTTGAAAAAGGACTTGTAGAGCTACCACAGTGTCTGAAATATTATTACTCAAGAGTCAGACATAGGTTAAACTTAACTCAGATTTAACATGAATACATGGAAAATCTGGCACTTGGACACAGGACTTCTATCCTCTTCCTTCCTATCCCCATATCTAAACAAGCAGTCATAAAACCGAACCCAGATCTTTTCTGGGTTTTAGCCAAAAGTGATGCACCACGAGTCAAAAATACAATGTAGAGGGCTGGAGAGATGGCTCAGCAGTTAAGAACACTACTCTTGCAGAGGACCTAGGATCGGTTCCCAGCACCCACACAGGACAGCTCACAACAGCCTATAATTCCAGGGGACCCACCATTCTCTCCTGGTCTCCTCAGGCACTGCATGTACATGGCAGGCAGGCAGGCAGGCAAAATACTCAAACATATAAAATAAAAAGAAAGAAATAAAAATATGATGTCTTTTTTTTTTAAAAAGCAAACAGTTGGAAAGCTGTATTAATATATCATAATTCCTACTGATATCTAAACAGTGATAGTAGATTGTATGTGCTTTTGCTATGAGGCCACTTACTAGTAACTGTTTATAAATTTAGAGATGTGAAAGAGGTGTTTCCCCTTCTTTTCATGAGGTTTAACTGCTACAAGCATTTCTGTCCTGTAAGCAACCAGAGCAGGAAAAACACATGGACAACCCTTGTCAGACATTAAGTGGCAGACAATGGAACTCCGTGGCCCCAAGCAAAGAAGGCAGATGACTGTACCCTTGCAGTTGCCCCAGCTTACTGTTGGGGGCTGTTTCTTGGTAAAAGGATAGGGAAAAGGCACCCTGCTGAGCTTATGGCCTCACAGTCTAGAGTATAGTAACTGAAGTCTCAAAGAGAGGACAGAAGAGGGTGACAGAAAACAATAATAGTGGAACAATTTCCAAGTGTGATAGAACAGATGCCCACAAGTCCAAGGAGCAACATCGACTGGCACTTAATACAAGAAACCTGTGCCAACACACATCATAATCAAACCACTGAAAACAGGGGGGAAAGGATGTATTATAAACAGAACATCAAAGACAAGGTCAGAGTATTCTCATCAGGACATAGGCAAGCCAGAAGAAAATGGTATGGCAAGAGAAAAATGGTAAGTTAGGTTTCTCTGTCTAGTGAAAATATTGCTCAAAAAATAAAGTGCTCAAAAAATAACATTTTCAGCTAAGTTGGTTCTGAAAGAATGTATTGTCAACAGCTTGTAGGATAAATTGCTAAAGATCCAAGAAAAGAGGAATTGAGAGAGTATCTAATATAATAATATGTGGGTAAATGTTTAAAATGGCTTAAACTATTTAGCTATACATATATTTTGTTTAAAGCAAAAATAATATATTATGGGGTTTATAATACATGCAGAAAAGGTGGATTAGTGGAGATATACTTCTGTAAGATTCTTATAAGCATGCAAAGTGTTTTGTTACTACAGTGTGTGGTACTGACATTCATGGACACTTAGATCAATAGAAGAGATCAGAGAGTGAGGCACAGGCCCACCTACAATATGGTCAGCTGATATTGACTTGAAGGATTTCTGTAACATTTTTAGAATGTTGAGTATCTTGATTTTGCTGGTGATTGTACAGAAGCACTATGTGTGAAAACTCACTGAATTCACACTACAGACAACTTTATGTGAAGAATATACCAATAAGCTGATTGTTACAATAGAAGGGGAATTACTAAATATTGGGGCATTGGGTGCTAGTGATTAGAGAAGGGCTTGCCAGAAGTTCATCCAGGGGTGCTCTAGCTTCCTGTGTCTTCAGAAGATCCATTGTGAAGGCCTTGACTCTAGAAAGCATGCTAGACACTGGTAAGACATAAGTGACACACAGAGACATCGCTGATACCTACCACCAGGGTACCTGCTTTCAGTCCAGGGTCATAGGGGACTCTGAAGCTCTTGGGGAGACTGGAATTCTGCAGGGTTTCAAGCTTTTGCTTAAGCTGTGAAATAACTGCAATTGTCAAAAGCATACAGGAGTTAAGTGAGCACAAGACATCAGTCCCATCTACTATCTCAGTGTAACCTGAGGTCTCATTTCCTTAGTATTCTACGTACTTGTTTGGAAAGTAGTAGTAGGAAAAGGGCTAGAAGCAGAGCTCTGATTTTAGGGACCAAGTAAGTCAGGATTACTGTGATCAACTTAATTGGAAATGTCCCTTCACAGGCAGAAGTGATATGTGAACACAAGTGGGAAAACTTCCATCACCACAGCAGAGGAGGATGTCCTGAGCGTGAGTCTAAGGCACTAACATTGCCCTTATCTTTCCAGCCTGAGACTTTCAATGACCATCTGGTTTTCAGAGTTGATGTTTGAACACTATTAAATAGAGTTGGGTTAGAGTTCTGTAAATTCTTCTTAAAAGAAGAAACTAGGTTATGTACAAAAGATGTGGCAACCTCAAAATTCTCAAGGCAAAACACACAGTACAGATTACTGCCTGGATAACAGGAAGAGTCCAGTCCAAATGTAAGATTGTTATTACTTCCATTAGTAGTTTTAGATGATAGCATGATTAATGTACTAGGAAACAATCAAAGGGAAGGTTAGAAATTTAAAATATTCAAAAGCTTAAATCAATGGGCAGGGATGTTAGTGTCTATTTTAAGTTAGTATCTATTTTAAGTTATAATACTAGCTTATTAAGTGAGTAAATGATATTTTCTAGGTTCAAACTTCATATAGTTTATCATGCCAGAAAGATGTGTCAATGCAATGATGGCAATTTAATGTGGTATCAACCAAAACCTTACAGGAGTGATTAATTTTTCTGGAGCAGAGACAGGATATTGAACATAGCTACAGAGAGGAGGGGTGTGTGTGTGTGTGTATGTGTGTGTGTGTGTGTGTGTGTGTGTGTGTGTGTGTGTGTGAAGGTGACATACATTTACATATATATATTACTCTGAGATATAAACATATGTATGTGATAAAATTTTAAAATCAACCTAATCTCTCAATATTCTGACAATTTTAAATCAGCATGAATGTATTCAAAAATGGGGAAAGGAGAGGATTTGGAAATAACTTTTCACATGTGAAATTGTTTTTGAAAATTAAATCTTCCAACCACACATGGTTCTTCAATTTCTCCAAATTTCATATGTATAACTTCATTTTTAAGAAGATATGAATTTATGATCTTAAAACATTACATCTTGTAGAAGGAGAACTTTAAATCTGCTTACTCCATGCAGACAAGAGACCAAAAAAAGTGTTTTCTTGGCCACTGTTAGCAAAATACAACTTTAATTCCAGAAAGAAGAATCATAGCAATCATGGCACTTAGAAAGAGAACTGAGAAAATGCAGCCACTGTACCTTGGGAACTGACGTCATACTTCTCAGCAGAGAGTGATTTGATGTCAATGGTGACTTTTTGTAACATCTCGATCACTTGGACCTGCTGTGTGAAGTCCTGCAGCATGGCCATGCCACAGCCCCTCAGATACGCTTCCAGGATCACAGCGAACCTCTGCTGATAATGTCTGGACTGGGCTATCTCACTTCTTAAGAACCAGAACAAGAAGTGACCGATTCTTTTGTTCTGAGATGGGTACAAGATGGTTGAGATCATGACTAATGCTGTAGACTTAGCAGGCAATTCCTGGTAGCCTAAATTGTCATGCTGCTATCAAAGTGGAAATACTTACTCTCAAGGCACGCTTCAGCAGGAATCTGGCCAGAGCACTGTCATGGTATGGTTCAAATTTCACAGCCTAAAGGAAGAGCACATTGGCATTTGAAGGATTATACTCTATGTTGGTCAGTCAGGAAAAAGGAGATGGAGAAAAAGCATGGTTCTGTGTGAATGGGTGATAAGAATCTCCTAAGCCACTCATATCCAGTCCCCTGTTTAGTGGACACTGGGGATATGAGTGGGAGCACTGGCTCAGCATCCTAGAATAGAAGAGGACTGAGTGGGCTGAAGGACTCCTGCTGCTCAGTACTGTGGTCAAGGTCATACCAGAGCTAAAGTTCTGAGTCAGAACAAATTGAGTTATTGGAAGGGGAGAAGCAGACAGGGCTACAATAATGATCTGGAGCGGAAGTAAGGGAGCTGGTTACAGAGCAAATGGACAGAGGCAGTGCAGGCCAAGTGTGGAGGTCCTAGAGCCCTGGACTCTCCCTTTTGGGCAACTCCCCCTTCTTACTGTAGGAAAAGGCAGCCCATGCCCTGCTGCACTGCAGTACAGAGCTTGTGCCAAGTATCCCTGACTGTCTCTGCTCCCTCAGGCAGAGCTTGATCTTCACTGTTTTCACAGTGTTGGTTCTGGGGTGGATATTCACAAGGGAAACGACAGCTCTATTATTGAAGAAAAAACAATAAAATGGGAAAAGTAAACTAAATCTTTGTGGGTACCTGCTTATTTTTCATGTTTTATTTTTCAATAAGCTTGAAATAGTTAATAGTTTTAAAAGAAAAAAAATTATTTAATTACCAATGCATATATTAAGCTAGAAGGTAGGTAGTGTATATAAGTCTAAAATAACTATCTTAGAATAGTTCCTTTATGAATAGGAACAGTCATTCTTTCCCACAAAGAACAGAAGACATTCCCACCCTAGCATGCATTTCGGAGCCTGAAGTCTTCTTGGTATGTTCACAGTTCTCACTCCTGGTTCCAAGTTTGATCTGATCAATACTGATCTTATGTTTCAATCTTAGTCCCCCTTTCAAAAGTGCTTCTCTTGGGTGTGGTCAATAGGTGCCATAGAAGCTGCATCTAAGCTGAGTTCTGAGAATGTGATTCCTCAGTCAAATGAACTCATTTTAAATGTGTTTTAAGTTTCTAACCCTGGAGCCGGTCTTTCTTCGTGTTTCACTTCTGTAACAATGATGCAAATCGCAACCAGGAGACCATTTTAACCAACAGTGAGTCATTTAGTTGGAGCTGAAATGTTTCAAATCGCTGCACAAATGAACACTACTCTTCAAATTTAAGCCCACACATCCAATATTAATAAGACTGACCTCTTTCACCCAAAATATCTCCAAGAAAAATGTTATTCATGTTTGAATCCTGCAAAGTATACTTTAGAAAATGACAATGAAAAATTGTCAGATCAAGTATTCCCTATTCAGAACTTTCCCTAGATACATTAATCAAAATTGAGTGTCACCTGACCCTGTTTACTCTAGTACTCTATGGTTTTCCCAGAGCCCTTGTCATAATTTGTTATTAAATACATTGTGTGTGTGTGTGTGTGTGTGTGTGTGTGTGTGTGTGTGTGTGTACTACAGCAAACCTGGAGGATTTGCCTTCTTACTGACAAATCCTTAGTTCTTTAACAACCCAGCTAAACCTCAGGCATATCGCTGACCCTACAGGACCATAGGGAGCATCATGGGAACTGAGTGAAACATAGTCCCATGTCTGTTTAAAGAGGGCAGCTGTCAAGATTCTGCCCAGCACAGCCATTTAGCAAAATAACAATAGCAAGTTCTACCCTAGGAACTATGACTTCCCCATCCATAGACTTTTGACCAGGATTACAGTACCAAGCATAACATTTCTTCCTGAGGAGCAGGCCTCAAAGTCATCATGAACTCATAGTAACCGTGGTTACCTGCACACAGTCTGCACATGATCAAATCAGCCAAAGTACTGTCATATATAGGGCAGAGGATCTCCAGGCCCACCTCTTAATGAGGAGCTATTGGTAGTTGCCAAGAGAAGAAAAGTCATGCTTTCTGGAAGATGTGGCTCCAGGGGATGGCCCCACACCCATGCATATATGGACAGTGATAATTTGACTTATCAGTTATTAGAAAAAATGGGCATGAACCTAAGAGGGAGATATATTAATAAAGATAGGAAGTTAATTTGAAGGGGAACCAGGGGGTATATACTATCATATTTCATTATATAACTGTATAAAATTTTCAAGAATAAAGAAAATCTTTTAAGAGATTCTACCAAGATATGTTGTTCTATGAACTGTAATAAACATGGGCAGAGATTAAAATTTTTCTAACCTGCATTATCTTGCCACTATATTGATGCAGGGTATTTGGTAGATGTGAAAATGATAAAGCCTGGGGCTAGTGAGACCTCCAATTCTAGTTCGTTTATTTTTAAAATATGTGGTCTTGAATACATAACTTAGTCTCCTGGTATCTCGATTTCCATATGTATCAAATGCAAATCCAGATTCTAATTTGACCACCATCACAGTTATTGGTGGAATCAAGTGACACAGTAAACAAAAACATGGAAATCACTTGGAGCCTTGGCACAAGGAAGCTTGCGACCAGTTCAGTTCATCCTTACAATGATTGATGAGGACAGTGTGATTCCCACCGGGGCAATCCTCCTAAAATGTGAAGGACAGCACTGATGTCTTTCAAATGCTTGCTGGCAAACCCTCAAAGACACTAAAAAAATGTCAATGGGAGCATTTACTGCTTTTGACGTGGCTTCATCAGCTCTGGTCTGATTATGAAGCTGAACCAGGAATATGGGATGACTACTGAAGGGGGTTCCTGTACACATGCAAATAAGTTCTCTGAGACAGCAGTTCCTGCTGACACCTCCAGTCCCTACCTGCACCAGCTGGAGAAGGTAATGTAAAACATCGTCATCCTCCAGGCTCTCCAGTTTCTGAACTGCAATGGCTCTTACGTTTTCATCTGAAAAATTGCAGTCCAGGAGCTGCATGGTTAAGCCAACGTCCAAAGCACTTTGATCCCAGACCTCCCTTCTGGCTAACAGCTGGTAGGTTTTGGCCACAATTTCTTGCTGTCCCCACTTCACTGAACTGAATAGTTTAGGGTATGCCTTCGGATGCTTCAGGCTTTCATATCTAAAATGCCAGAGCAATTCTTTGTCCTCTGCTGTGAGGGGGTTAAGTGGATCTGTGGCTATGATCGCCTCCAGTTGCTTGCGAAGCTGGTTGGGCATTTCAGCTCGGACCCTATCTCCTTCCGGGTCAGGGGTGGGCTGATGCTTAGGCAGGGCTATGGGGTGACAGTAGTTATCCAGCAGGATGGAGATGGACATTGAGTTCTCCTTGTCAGGATTGGTTGCGGAAGTGAGCTTGTCAGCATTGAAACTGCCTTGTTCTTCCGCCTTCCCAGATATCTGCCACATGTGGAGCACATAGTCCCCATGGCGGAGCAGGAACCGGTGGTCTATTAACAGTAGGTTCACGTAGTAGAGAAGCTGGGCCTTGCCCTTGGACTCGGAGCCTGGCGTCTCAGCAGAAGCCTTGCTGGACAGTGCTGGTGTTTTGCAGCAGTAGATCTGCAGGTTCAACAGGGCCCCTTTGGGCAAGTCTTTGATTTTGATGCCAAATTCCAACCACACATTCCAGAGCACCTCTTCCGCGAAGGGCTTAGGGCTGGTTCTCCTTTGGCAAAGGACTTGTTGTCCGTGCTGGATGTTTGCTTCCACAAAAACAGTGAGGTCGGTGTTCCGAGGCAGGACAGGGATGTCAATGCCTCTGATCTTGACCCTGAACTTCCGGTCACAGTCCCACAAAGACACTGTGAACACACTCTCATGGTCCTTGCCATGGATGGTCAGCTGCTCATGGTAGCCGGTGACTCCAGTGCAGTCATCCACCAGTGGCCATTCTTCCTTCCTCACCTCGTCTAGGGCTGGGTCTGGAGGCGTGTCGAGCACCAGGTGTATTTCGTCTCCATTCTTGAGGCACTGCCTCACCCACTGGAAGTTTTTGAGAGGCGTTTCACCCACCAGGTACTCGTCGCGGCCACAGACCCGCAACACAAAATCCTGCTCACTTAGACTTTCTGGGATGTTCATTAGGGACTTCTTCTTGGCCATCTTGGTGAAGAAGCTCTGGAGGATGGCGCCAGGAGTATCATCTGCAGAGACCTTGATTGTTTGACTGGTGGTGCTGCGGTGGATGACGATGAAGATGCAATTGTTGGCAATCTTTTTTGACAGGTAGTCTGGAAGAGGTTTGGACGTCACCCAAGGGTGCATAGCATAGAGTTTGGCATCACGGTCAGCCACCTCTGCCATGCGAGGTGTGACCAGACGGCGGCGAGTGAACTCTAGCTCATCATCGTGCACGTTGCTAATGTCAGTGACATCATATCCAATTAGGGAGGTGAGCTGCTTCTGGAAAGCTAGGGTCTCCTCAGAAGGTGCGTGTCGCTGTACCACATGGATCTGACCGGGGCTCTTGTGCATCATCTTCCAGTAGCGCAGGCAGTCTAGGGTCTGCACCACCTGGTACCTGTCGTAGATCTCATACCACTGTCCCTTCTTCTGGTAGAGCAGGAGGAAGTGGTCTGGGCCCAGCCGGTGGTAGAATTCCGCAGCCACACTGGTCTCCAGCGCGCGCAGCCACACCTGGGCTTTCATCTGCTCCACATTGCCGTGACCAGCCACGTGCAGCAGCGCTGTTTCTGGAGTCTTGCTGATGCGCTGGCTGGTGGGCAGTACGAACTCAATGGGGATGAGCTCCATGGAGGACAGGCTGCCTACTGCGCTGCGCGGCTTCATTCTCCGGCGCCGGCGGAGGTTGTCCTCTCTTAGAACCACCGGCTGTTCATAGTTCTCCAGCTCCATGCCCTAAGCAACCTGGGAGTGGAGAAACAGCTTTGTCAGGAGACAGACTGTAGATTGCTGTACAAAGGCTGAGAAAAGGTGGAGTGGGTTGATATGAGCACCAGGCCTAGAGGACCAAGGAAGCCGGAGGCAGCGCTGCCTTTAACAGCGTGGTTCTTGGTCAGCCACTTACTGTCTAGGTGATGTGGCCTACTTAATCTCCGAGCCTGTTCCTTATCTGTTAATTTGGTTACTTACACCTAGGGCGTGGAGGCAAAAGTTAAATAAGGGGGTGTACTTTTTTTGATTGGGTGATGCATGCATGTGGGCACATTTTCTCTAGGTTTTGTGCGCGCACACGCGTGATGTTTTAATTAGAAATTCAAAAAATGCCATGGGACTATGGAAATGGCTCAGTGGATAAAAGCTCTTGCTGTCCTCAGTTTATATCCTACCAACCACATAAGCCCCATGGGCCAGTCACCCCAAGCGTCTGTCTGTCTGTCTGCCTGTGTGTGTGTGTGTGTGTGTGTGTGTGTGTGTGTGTGTGTGTGTGTGTGTGTGTTGGAAGGGAGGAGAGCAGAGATGGGAGAAATCACTGGGGCTTATTGGTCATCAGTTTAGCTCCAGGTTCAGTGAGACCCTGTCTGAAAGGAAGAAGGTTCAGCATTCCTTCTCTGGCCTCTGCAGCTGTAGCCACACACACGTATGGCCACATTGTACACATAGACCATATTCACACACATGTGCGCAAAAACATGCAAAACACTCACCTAGTATCCGACATGTACTGGCTCAAAATGGTAACTAAGTATCCTGAACACATAAACACATAAAGCAATAGAGTCAAGGATGAAGTCCTGGTTTCTAAGGTGTAGAGTGAGGCCCTGAACATCACTTTGAAAACAAGCCAAGGTATTTCCTTTTTCAGTCTCACACTTCTCTAACTCAGACACCTAATCTTGCTTCATCTTCTCTATTTTCAAACTGTCTGAACCAAGAATCTTCTCCCTAGTCAACTTCCTCTCTCTTTTTTTGTCCTTTTCATTTTTTCTTTCTATTTAAGAAAGCCAGTCATTTCATTCATAAAACTCAAAAACAGCAATTTGGTAAAGGTTGTAATCAAAGTCCTGTGGAGACACTTAGCATGGAATGTGAAGCATTCTGGCTGTCACTGCTGTGTTAGAGTAGAGGAGTCGCCACACCTGGACTCTGCCAATAAGAACTTTTAGGTCATTTTAACTGAGCCAATTGACTTGACCTGCCTCTGCTTTAAGAAGAGGAGCCCCGGGGAGAGGACACGATTTCTGCCCTCCAATGACCTTTCATTTTTAGACCCTAAACAATAATTTAGTTTCTTTTTGTCCTAATATTTTCATCTCTGTATTAAAAATTTACAAATGTATTCTCATCATGTTACCCACTCTTTCTGCAAATATTTAGTAAGTATTTATCCTTATTTAATATTTAACAATGAACAAGTATTTACAAAGCAGTTACAAGTAAATATGACCTCTTCCACTAAGGAACTCAACAATGACTGAAATGTTCAGAGTACTAAAATTGAAAAATGATTCATAAAACATTTTAATTTAATATTAAGCATTGCTATATTGGTTCTACATTATACTCTAAACCACATTCAAATACTAAAACAAAATATTTCAGAAAATAACATTTACTTTCTAACTGATGTTAATGAGATCCATAATTAGTTTTTTTCTGAAGAACAGTGGAATATTTGTTATATATACCAAAAAGGAAAGTTTGATGAAAAGTTATAAAAGACAGTTTCATTGGATTTCAACTTATGCTCAGTTCTTGAGTTGTTATTTTTAAAGTCAATACTCTCTTCTCTTAAAATATATTGAAGTTATACTTAGTAAATAAATGAAACCAACTGTCCCAAACAACTGTTTCTGTAGCTTAAAGAATTCTCTTGGTACATGAGAATAACTAACAAAAAAAGAACCATAAGCTACATTTTAGAATAACTAACAAAAAAAGAACCATAAGCTACATTAATACTGACATGAACTTAAAATAAAATATGTCCAAATTTAAGCGTATAAATATAATTCAGTATCTGCCACAGTGACACCAAGAATTCATATTACATCATGATACAAGATGCAGAAGAAAAGAGACTGACCAAATACTCACTGATTTTCCTCATGGCTGGGACGAAGCAGCTTTGTCCTCTTAAAGCAACAGCCTGTACAGTAATTCTTAAGCACGTACTTGTAAGACTATGAACCCTGCCCGCCATGGGCTCTGAAGCCACCCCCTTCCTCACAAACAAAAACAGAAAGAGTTGATGCACCTGCTAGCCCTTGCCGGAACCTTGTGGATATACACAGTCTAAACTGAGCGAGACAATGAAACCCAGACGTTCAGGGGTGGGCTCATCTTGAACTGGCAACGGTTCCAGATAAAAATATTCTAGCTGAGAAGGAAGTGTGACTGTTCTGAGTCAGACCGAACAAAGAGCAAACAATAGAAAGCAGTAGTACCTGAGACAGCCCTGGAGGTGGTGATGCTGAAGGGTCATTTGTTTACTTTATAAAAACAAAACAAATTCAAACCTACCCAGGGCACCTCTTGACTCTTCTGCTTTTCTGGGGCTCCCTTCATATCCAGATGCAAAGGAAGTGTTGCAGTTACCAGGAAGGAAGTCTTAACCAAGTTGATTATACATGTGATTGCTCATTTTCAAAGTGTCAGAAATGCATTTCCTGTTTCAGCACAGAGAGAGCAGAGCAGGACAGAGAGCAGTGTTTCCCTCACTATTTTTCTCACTCTTTGAATTAATTTTTCAAAATTTGTGAGAGGCTCTGACAAATGATGGAGATCCAAACCAAAGATACACCCAAGGAATAAACAAATGAAGCATGCATGTGTGTAGCTATAAGCAGAAGAGGCTGCACAGCCACAATATTACATAACTTGTTACGAAGAGTTAATAGCCAGGTAAAACCTGCTATCCTCTGAGAATTCATACAACCCCTGGTGTGTGCTAACTGAGGCAGGCAGGGTGGGGAGGAGCCCCATGGACTATTTGGTTCAATCTGGATGTTTGCAAGAGCAATGTCTATGAGCCTGCCTCCTTACACTGGTAAGAGATTTCTCTCTCTCTCTCTCTCTCTCTCTCTCTCTCTCTCTCTCTCTCTCTCTCTCCTTCTCTCCTCCTCCTCCTCCTCTCTCTGTTTGACAGATGATTTAGGTCTCAAAATATCACAGGCTCAAACTGAAAGTCCTGTAGCTTGCATGTGCCTCTTGCTGTTGTGTTGGGGGGTATGTGCTGGTGCATGCTGAGGGTGGGGCACTGATTAATCAGACAAAATAGGAGGAGGCAGTTATCCTGGGGACATTGGGAAGCTGAAAACTGTCAGCATCAGGTGGTAATCACTGAGAGATGGCTTCCAGTTCCTACAGGCTTAGAGAACATGGAAATCAGTTCTGAATTTGTTTTAAAGCAGTCCTGTATTTTCAAAGTAACCTCAATTCCTTCTAGAATCATAAACATGGCCAACTCCCCCTCTGCCTCAGAGGTCTCAATACCAGAGCTTCCTCTCCCCAATAGACTGTCATGTTGGGCCCCAAGAACAGAGAGAAGGATAGAGGCAGCCTCACAAAGCCCCTTAGAAGCACAACATAGTGAGTTTCTCTGAGCTACTCTGATAACAAGATAAATGAGTCCCTGATCTGTTGTTTCCTCTCACATAGTCCTTGTGATGGCCGATACAGATTGTTAATTTGACAGGATCTAGAATCCAGAAGACAAACCTCCGGGCATGGCTATAAGCCAGTCTCTAGACTGGGTTAAGTGAGGTGTGGGAAGACATACTCTAAACATGGGTGGAACCACCCGTGGGCTGCAGTTCTGGATTGCAGCAAGCCAGTGGATTGCCAGCCAGCTATCACTCTCTGCTTCCTAATGGCAGATGCAACATTAGAAGCAGCTCCATTGTCCTGCCATCATGGTGAACTGTACCTCAAACTTGAGCCCAAACCAATACTTTCCTCCTTAAATCGCTTCTGTAGTACAGTACAGGTCCTTAGGCTTTTAAAATAGTGGTCTGAGACTGTCAGCAGGCAAGTCTAAATTCAAAGGCTGCCTTCCAGATATGTAGAGGGTGCGTCTCAGCTTCCCACAGTGTGTTTCCTGTAAAAACACTTCCTTGGGAGGCTGGTGTCTTTACAAGTCTCAAGGTAGCCTTATTTGTTCAGAAGGAAAGGTTTGCCAAGCCATGCTTCACCTAGAGTATGTGTGAGGGCGTGTGGCAGCAGGGGAGGTGAGCAGGGGTTTTTCAGGGGGAGTGTTGACCTGAGGGGACCATCAGCCGGCTAGTTCTCAACTTCCTGGGTTTCACACACATATACACAAGCACATGAGCAATTTCAGAAATGCTAGACTCTCTTGGGTCCCTTTCATTTGACTATTCAGCTAAGTTTACCTGTGCAAATGTTGTCAATTCTATGACTAAACTATCAAATACTTCAGGCTTATTGGTGGTTTGAGATTAAAAGTACCCTGATCTTCTTCAATTCCTCATATAGCCGCTAACATTTTACTATCTATGGTGAATGTTCATAGGCAGAAGAATGAGACATGCCTCATACCTTCTTCCTTGTGGGTACTTCTCCACACACAGCCTCATTTTCCTAATAAGGGTATTTTATCCTCAGAATTTTTAGGTCAGCAGATCCCCAGGCTTCCTCCTTATTCTACTAGCATGCTGTTGCATTGTCCATTCTGTGAGTCTTATGCAGCCAGCACCAAATAAAAAATGCAGAGACCCCATCCTACATAACATCCAGCTGTCATAGGAATGACAAGACAGAATAGATTCAAAACCAAAAACACAGTAGGCAGCATTCATCAGGAAACAGATTATGAATTAGTTGTTCAGTACGAGGAGTGCTCTTTGCACTTGACCTTCGGAGGTTATTTATAGTGTCGTTGGAGAGGCAGAACATCATGCAGATGCATTTTCTTTTTCATCATGCAGAAGAAAAAGATGTATGCAATGTCATTGGTCCAGTGGTCCAGTCATCATCCTGGCACCACAGAAGCACTGACATTTGTAGTACATAGTGTTATTTTTGCTCATTCTTTGGGGTTAATATATACCAATTCATCTATCTTAGCTTTCTAATCTGCTCAAAATGCCACAGTCCCCCTATTTACATCTTAGAAAGTGGCTAGAAACCTTCAATTTTCAGCAGAACAAAACTAATCTAACCATACCTACATAATATCTTACATATTTTGGATGTGCTAGAGGACATGTGATTCTGGGAGTCATAATATAGAGAGAAAGAAAAGATCATGACATCTTTGTCTTGTTTTAGTGAGGAACACTTTCCCAGAAGTGTTCCCTCATGCTTCTGGTCAGAATTTTGGCAAGTGCCCATCCATACTTTAGCCAATCAATGGGGAGTGGAGAGAATTATTAATTTGAGTTAATCAGGAGCTAGCCCCTGAGTGATCAGCTACCCAGAACATTAGTATGCATGACAATGTCACTGGAGAAGCAGACTATCATCATGGCATGTGGGTTGAGGGAAACCACTTCAAATCCCAACAGCAGCAACAATACCCACAGGAAAGCAATTATTGTCAACCAAACCCCAGAGATCTACAGTAGCCAAGGCCAGGTGCCTATGGGCATCAATCACACTTAATTTTCTGTTCTGATTGGCAGAAATGGACAACGAAATGCCCTTTCCTTTGTTTCCTTGTTCAGTTCAGTTTTGCTATCACAGCTTAAGGAGTACTTCAGAAATATCCAGAAATAATTCCTTTGTAAATGGAATTTTAAAAATCCAAATTCCTTAGCATAAAGAATCATGGCCTCTTCAAGATTTATCCTTAACCCTTTGCCTCATCTTCATAATTACCTCTACAACCAAAGGGAACTGCTTTCTGCTTCCCACAGGCTGGGCTCCTCCGCATTCCGCCTGTGTGCAACCACTGTCCTTCCCTGCTTTTCTCTCATTTCCCTTCTCCGAAACCCCAGGTCCTCTGATCCCCCTAGCCATTTGCTGCTGCTCAGGTGGGGTAAGCTCCTCTGGGAGGGCTTTCTTGTTGGGCAAAGCACACTGTTGAAGGACACAGTGACAGGGTTGCCAACACCACAAGGCCAATTTTCTATGACTGTGCATGTCCTGCACAGTTCTGAGCACTTTACACATCCATTCATGTAACCCTTGCATCATCCCAAGGAGAGGATTTCTATTGATTTCCATTTACTGATGATGAAAACCTGGCACAGAGAGGTCAAGTGGCCACTCCAGGCCTGCAGCTGGTCAACGGCAGTCACTGTGTCTCCCGTGGGAAGGCGTCTCCTTCCTTTCATCTCCACCAGACACTTGAGCTTTTTAAAATGAGTGAGTGCTGTGTTCATCACTGTTCCCAGGGTTTGATACAAAGCAATCAAAGACCTAGATAAATATTTGCATAATAGATAGTTCGTATTTCTGGAAGGGTCATCAGACTCCTCTCTCTTACAGAATGTTAAGTCCCAGGGGATATTCCTACATCTTTTCAGACCACTCAAAATCCAGATAGCTCCCTCTTTCCTTCCAACCATCTGACCTAGCCCCACTCGGCACCCACTTGCCAGTGTCAGAACATGGAATCAGGAAGGGAGTGTGGCATTAGACGGGAACCCAGTTGGACTAACACCATGAAGAGCCACAAACCTCTCAGAGCCCTTCTGCTGATCCCGTCTGATAGCCTTCAATGCCGTTCTCTTGTTAGTGACGATTGAGGTAGATCATTGAGGAATTGGCGAGGTGAGGAAGCTGTGGCTTGTTCTGCTTCTCTGATCTTCCAGCATTCACCCCAATACCAGGCTCCAGGTTTGTTTTTATTAATAACTTTTAAGATTCCTGCTACATCTAGCACCAACGTTCGTGTTACAAATTCATGAAAAAGCTGCTTGCCTGTGACCTTGCGGGCCCCTGCTCAGACCTGAGCTACCCTCAGCCAGTTGTGGTGAAGCACACTGGTTTGATTTAGTGAAGGAAGCAGAGGCAGGAGGATCCTGAGTTTGAGGCCAACCTAGGAGAACCTTCAGTTGGGGCTGAGCCACAAACAGTGGTGGGACCATGGAGGCAGTGGCTGCTGCTCCGAGTTGCTGGTTTCGTCTCATCTTGTTGGTGACTGCAGTGATGCTGCTACCTGGGGTAAAGGGTTTACTGCTGCTGGTTCAGAGAAGAATTGCCAAGACCATTGCATTACAAGAAACCATCGACAAAGGCCAGTTTGGAAAAGTTTGGCAAGACAAATGGTGGGGAGAAATTGCTGTGAAGATTTGCTCTTCTAAGGAAGAATACTCATGGTTCCGAGAGACAGACATTTGTCAGACTGTGATTGCTCCAAACCACACACACACATACACACACACACACACACACACACACACACACACACACACAAAGTCTGCAGGGAACCATGA